GACCTCCCGGACTGACCAAACTTGGTCCGGGGCTGACCAAACTTGGTCAGCACCGGACCAACCCACTGAAAACTCCTTTTCATGCTCGTTTCGGTCAAATCTCGTTTCCATTCTTCGTATTCTTCACGTATAAGTCCATCCCTATTGGTGTGTGACCCTGTAGGCCCATTCTAAGTGGTAGTGACTTTAGGAACCTTATCCGAACCACAAGTAATGGTTAGCCTCTAGCAAGACGCCATGACCACCCACACACAATTGAGTTAGAGGTGATCTAACCAAGGCATTAACAGCTCAAATTCTGATCCTTTCCACGAGAGGGCCCAGCGATATCTCTCCTGTTAAGGAGGTGACAAATCCCATATTGCATGTCTACTATCTCCATATGATTCGTGAACGTATCTGATCAACGCTGTTATAATCATCCGGTTAAAGACGACGTTTGACGCAGTCAAGACACGCCACTCCTCATATCAGATACTCTAGACATCTCAGGTATGAGGATCCATAAACGAAACGCTGTGTGAGATTCAAGTCATGACTCTGTCCATGTGACAATCTCATGCGGGTCATCCAGTCACTCGTTCACAACGAGTACCCATGATTGTGATCTACATCCAACGCGTTGATCACACCTCATGCTAGTCTTCATTCAACATTGTTTCCACAATGATGACTGATTAGGGAGTTTAGAATCATTCTCTAATGATTCAAGGATGCCGAAATACAACAAACATGCTAATCGTATAACGGGAAAAGTAATGTATTCATAAATCAATGAATCAATACAAAGTAAAATGTCATATCATGGATCATCCTAGAGCATTACAACCAACAATCTCCCACTATGCTCTATGATATATCCTACAAGCATCTAATCCCCATACCCTTAACATGACCATCATGCTTTGACGAAGGGAGAGGCTTCGTCAATGGGTCGGCAATATTAACATATGTCGACACTCTGCTTATCTTCACGTCTCCTCTGTCGATGATTTCTCTGATGAAGTGAAATCGCCTGAGTATGTGTTTGGATCTCTGGTGTGACTGGGGTTCCTTAGCTTGCGCAATCGCACCATTGTTGTCACAATACAACTCAATGGGATCTGCAATGCTAGGAATGACGCCCAGGTCTCCCACGAATTTCCTGATCCAAACAGCTTCCTTAGCTGCATCCGATGCAGCTATGTACTCGGCTTCTATAGTCGAATCTGCAACGGTTGGCTGTTTGGAACTCTTCCAACTGATAGCCCCACCATTCTGGCAGAAAACGTAACCTGACTGCGATCTGAAGTCATCTCTATCAGTTTGGAAACTAGCATCGGTATAACCACTTATAGCGAGCTCGTCTTCCAATCCGCCATACACCAAGAACAAATCCTTAGTCCTTCTCAAGTACTTAAGGATGTTCTTGACCGCAATCCAGTGAGCCTCACCTGGTGTAGATTGATAACTACTAGTCATGCTCAATGCATATGATACATCTGGACGAGTACACAACATGGCATACATGATGGATCCAATTGCCGAGGCATATGGAATCCTACTCATGCGCTCTTGCTCATCCTGTGTCTTTGGACACTGAGTCTTGCTAAGAGCAACGTCATGGCCCATTGGCAAGGCACCCCTCTTGGAGTCTTGCATCTTGAACCGATTCAAGACCTTGTCAATGTATGTACTCTGACTTAGACCAAGAAGCCTTCTAGATCTATCTCTATAGATCTTGATTCCTAGAATATAGGCGGCTTCTCCTAAGTCCTTCATCGAAAAGACCGATCCTAGCCAGGATTTTACTCCTTGCAAGGTAGGAATGTCATTTCCGATGAGCAATATATCATCTACATAAAGCACAAGGAAGACCACTGCGCTCCCACTGACCTTCTTGTAAACACATGGCTCATCTTCATTTTGCAGGAAGCCAAACGTTTTGACTGCCTCGTCAAATCGAAGATTCCAGCTCCTCGAAGCCTGCTTCAATCCATAAATGGATCTCTGAAGCTTGCACACCTTCCTCGGACTCTTAGGATCAACAAAACCCTCGGGTTGTGTCATGTACACATCCTCGAGCAAATTCCCGTTAAGGAATGCGGTCTTGACGTCCATCTATGATATACGCCACGGGCTTGCGGAAGGGCTGTTTCCGGAGAGAGTATGGACTAGGTTCGATCACCGGCCAAAGTGGCACTCGAATTCGATCTAGTTCGGGGAATGAGTAGGTAATGAATGAATGGATTCCGGGATCAATCTCTGATCAGATTGATGCTCGACTTTAATCCCGAAACGGAGAGATGAACGAAGGATAGAAGTTGGATTCGAACAAACCAAATCGCTCCTCGGACGAACCAAGGTTGAATCTCGGACGAACCAAGAAAGGAACTCGGACAAACCAAGCTAGAATGCTCGACACAAGTGGAGAGAATTCTGAAAAAAATAATACTTAGATTGCAAATTGATCAAAGGTGTTTTCAAATGAGTCTACATGGGTTTTTAAAGAAGAATTACAACAACTAGAATCTTAAATGCAAGTCTTCATGCAAGGCTGCAGAATTTTCGCCATTAA